TCTTCTGTCCTTGTTTGACACATTGGAATGTTTCATACACTACCAACGAGTATTTATGAATGAGATGTTCGGTCTATATTTATAATGTCTTTGTGTATTTCTTATAACACTTTAATTTATGTTATGCAAAAACCATTTTTAATGATATTTTTTCAAATATTTATTTTGAATCAAATTGTTAATCTATTATTACAAATTGTTTTAAACATATAGGTTGTAAAAGTCCTAATGCAGTATACTAATTATTTACTTAGCAAGTAAGTGCACATTAATATATTAACAAACAGCGATAAATATATAACAAAGCCCATATTTAGAAATCCGCACCTATATAATAAACAGCGCCGTTTAGTAACTCGACCTGACGAAGTTTCGCATGACTGATGCGAACGGGGGAATTTAAGACAAATTGTTCTTCATCTCTCGAATAATAACGTTTTTATTATTTGAGATGTTACGAAAATCACAGTTCCCACGATTTCTCGTTGCCAAGAGATCCAATGAGATTTTGCTCACATTCTATTAATCTTCTCTTGACTGCTTAATTTATTTTTTTAAACTACATATTGTATTTAAATTGCTCCCCTTTTTTCTTAATTTTGTTGTTATTATTTACGTAATAAGAAGTTACTACTTTCTTGACATATACAGGATGTCTCAACATTTCGTAGACAGACCACCACTATGTTTTTCTGAATCAAAAGAAGTTAATTAGACACAATTTATCAGCATATATAAGTTCTTTTGTCCGTTAGAGGATATCAAGAAAAAAAAATAAACCAATCCATTTTAATAACCAGTATACTTTGATTTGAAAGAAATTGGTATGTCTGTATTTTGTTAGGAACTTTTGACTTCACAAAAATCCAGATAGCTTCCACTCCTATATAAATTCTACTAGAAACTTCATCGACAACTGATATTTTTTTCGTTAAAATAGTCTCCTTCTAGTAATTACTATAACAGGCGATAATAATATATTTGGGGAAAATGTTGAAGGTTATTGGTCACTCTACTGGGTGCGTCTGAAAATCCCCCTATAACTTTAAGGCTCATTAGCATATTTCGAAAAAGCATTTTTTACGAATAATTTAGTACCACACACTTGGTATTTCGGGTCAAATTGTTGTTGTGAACTGCATGTTACAATTTCAAATAAACCATATTATGCAAAAATGTCAAAAGTTGACATATGATATGTCATTCTATTCACAGTGTCATTTTTTCTCGAAGATAGTCATTTTTTCATTTTTTCGTCGAATAAAGTAGAAATATACCGAGGGTGCCATTTGAAAATCAAAAGTTGTAGTCGTTTCCGGTAAAACAGGAAGTGACCGAAAACAATTGAATACGTCAATCAATACTAATTTATGTCATATGCTAACATACCAAATCTCGTTTTTTTAACTGAAAAAATAAAAAAGTTATAGGGGTGAGCCACTTTTGAGACGCACCCGGTATATAATAAATCTTTGAAAATATGTTGCATACATTTTAAATTAATTAACATCAGAGTTTATTTTTATTGTTGCTGTTTAACGGATGAAATAAAAACACTTTTGTATAGGGATAACCCAAAAATTCATGTACGTCATTTTTCGGGTTTTAAAATTAAATTTAATCTCCATAGATATTTATTTGTCTTTTTTTTCTATTGTTCTTTTTTTAGTATTTTATTTTTTTTTGTCACAAAGGATTAGACATGATTTAGCACAGTTCTTTATTTACAATTTACAAGTTAAAGCTCTAGTGTTTTTGCTTTATTTTCTGTCACATTATAAAGAATAATACTTGTTTATTATTCTGTAGTTAAATCAAATTGTAAATAATAATACAACCATCCAAAAGATCGAATTTAAAATAATCTGTTATAATTTGCCCTCTCCTTAAGAGGGAAGTTATTGTTTTCAAAAAAAAAGAAGAAACTAGATCTGAAAGGAATCAATATAAGACAGAAAACTAAAATAAAAATCAAATAAAATAGGATTGTCAAAACAAACGAAATACTAGGTTTACTATACATATATGATTCCTGCTTATCAAGGGGTTTTACAATTTATACCTCCTGGCATCTATCGTTGTCATAAAAAATTGTGTATTTAGAGTTATACAGTTTATTTCTTTTGCACTTGCTGATGAGCTTGAGAATTACAAATATTCTAATATAATAAATCTTTAAAAGATAGTTTATTTTGGTCCTATGTAAAACCAACAATACAAAAAATCAAATTTAAAATAATTTATTACAAAACCAACGGTTTGATTATATTTTGCTTGTATACGTTCGGTCAAAACATATCAGTGTATATTATTACTTTTTAAATTGTCATTATGTATATATTTTGACAAAAAATTTTAACATTTGGTATTTTCAAATCAAAGCACCTTTGGAATTAAACCGCAATTCTACTCCAAGCCTGGCTCATTTTGGAATTAATTTGTCTTAATAGTAATAATAATATACATAAGCCACAGCTAGCTAGGGCGGGGCAACTCCCCAAGTAGCCCCACCGTAAATACGCCCATGCTCCGTATATTAAAGAATACAATAGTAACCCAATTAATATAACTACTTCCTGAAAGTATTAGTAATGCCTCACATAATTGTATGTTTATTGTTTAAGCTTATATAAGGTGTTAACTTGTCAACAAAATTACTTGTCCTATATATTGTATAGAAAAATTAAGAAACATTGAATTTCAATTTGCTCAAACATTTCCTGAAAATATCAGTAATGTACATCCTGCATATTTAAGCTTTTATAACCTGTTAATGTGTCAAAAGAAATTACTTATGCTAATAATTTTGATAGATGAAAGAGAGAAGAAAACGTTTAATTTTCATCTCTAATATTAAACGATCGAAAATAGAAAGTTTCGTCATATCGAACAATGAAGTCTCCTCTTTATGTGCTTCTCTAACTGTCGCGCTTACTTTGTTCAAGTAATACTAATTGGCCATTCAAGTGGTGAAAATAGAAATCTAATACGTGATTCTCTGTCTACGTGTGTATTCTTCAGTCAAATTTACGAGTAATGCACGAAAACGTACATATTTTTTATAAACTTAAATCACTTTCTTTTCTATGACAAAACGGAACGGGCTAGCTAGGAAGCCAGTATAGGTACTCTTGTCGTGACCTCCTCGTGCTTTTACTCGTGACCTATTGACTGTCAAGCGCACGAAAAACAGGTACCGAACAGTAACAGGTAGCAAGTAGACTTGATGCATGGTGCATGTATACCTATAGATCATGTCAGACTGCAATCGAAATATCATTGCAATTATTATGAAACATAAATGCATATATTTGAAAATATAATATAAGACTAGAATAGCGTTAACATAATGCCGTTAATACTATTTTATTAGAATAGCAGAAAGGTAGACATCAGAAACTATAGACCAATAAGCCTATTACCAGTAACAATCAGGATATTCACAAAAATAATAAACAGAAAAACAAAACACATTAGATCTTACACAACCATGGGAGCAAGCAGACTTTAAAAGAATACGAACTTCCACTAGGCATAGCGTTTAAACTTCGAGAAGGCTTTCGACTCGATATATACTAAGGCGATAATAGAAGCCCAAACGAAACAAGGAAATAGACATGCCTTATACATATTATAGAAACTCTTGACAATATACAGGGGGTTTCAAAAAACATGGCCATCTCTCTTTGGGAGATTCCTCACGTAAAAATAACATTTATGTTTCATATCAATATAGGTCCCATTCTACTTTGTTTCGTAGCTACAGGGTGTTAGTCTTAATATTTTTTCGATTTATTATAATTTTCTGCAGATAAAAATAAGTAAAAAAGTTCATATAAATGTATGTCCTAAAATGCTTAGTTTCGGAGATACAGGGTGTAGAAGTTTCATTTTTATTTCGATTTTTTTCAAATAATTTCTGAAGTAACATCAATATTTGGATGAAATTTGGTGTCTAGGAGTTTTTTGACATGAGAAATTTGATTTTGATGTCAAAATAGCTCCTATTTGTAGAGGGCGCCACCTACATGTATTTTAACTGTTTGAAGAGTAATAACTTTTCGTCCGTACCTGTATAAAACTACTGACTGAAAAAATATACATTTCCATGACTTTCCACGTAAAAAATGTCTCTTGGTAAAAATCGCTACGAGCAACCGTTCTCAAGATATTTAAAATTGAAATAGTCAATACATGTCTTTATTGACAAAAAATAAGCACACGTTGAGTATAGTTATTTGACGGAAATAATAAATTTTTAATTTTTTAAATTAATCATAAAATTTTTTGCAAAAAATTGATGATTTAACAGTTTCTGTTGAACTTTTGGCACAAAAATTGTCAAATTTATGATTTCAGTCTAATAACTATTTAGTCAACATATTGAATTTATGTCAATGATAACAGGTATTGATAATTTTGATTCCAAATATCTCGAGAACCATTACTCGTAACGATTTTTACCAAGAGACCTTTTTTATGTAAAAAAAGTGGTAAATGTATATTTTTTTACTCAGTAGTTTTATACAGGAACGGACTAAAAGTTATTACTCTTCAAACCAGTTAAAAATATGTAGGTCACGTCCTCTACAAGTCGCGCCCTCTACGAGTCCTATTGACATCAAAATCAAATTTCTCATGTCAAAAAACTCCCAGGCACCAATTTTCATCCAAATATTAAAGTTACTTGAGAAATTATTTGGAAAAAATTGAAATAAAAATGAAACTTCTACACCCTGTATCTCCAAAACTAAATATTTTAGGATATACATTTATGTAAACTTTTTTACTTATTTTTATCTGCAGAATATACTGCCGAAGTTTCCGAAATACAATTCGGACCACCCTGTATATATTTATAAATAGATGCCATATCTGGAATATCCATACATTCATCGCTAAAGATATTATTATTGTTAGATATAAAAGCGCTTCTTTAAATTTACGTTTTTTTCAATGATTTTCAACTCTTTTAACATACGTATCTTCTTTGTTTACAGCTGCTCTCAGCTCTAATTGCGCTTGCCAGCGCACGTCCTGAAGCTGGTTACAGCTACAGCCCCCCTAGCACTTCGTACGGAACGCCATCAGGAGGTGGTGGAGGTGGATTCTCTAGTTCGGGAGGTGGATACTCCGGTGGAGGTGGTGGTAAGTCATTGTTACACTATAATTGATTATTATAATAACAACACACCAACGTATAGTAGAGTAGACCATATTGAGAAAATCTAAACAAAAATATAATTTGATAAATATAATAAGCGTTGAATGTTAGATACTTTGATTAATATTAATCACCAACTGAGCGTCTGTGGGGGCCATTAAATAAAGTTTGTGTAAGATATTGGAAATGTTTTAATTCATTTATTATGTTCTTTCAATGAAAGTAGGTTTCTATATATATATATATATATTGTACCGTTGAAATTGTTTTAGGTGGATTTGGCGGAGGCGGAGGCGGAGGTGGAGGATTTGGTGGAGGTTTCGGAGGTGGCGCCGGAGGCGGATTTGGCGGAGGCGCTGGAGGTGGATTCGGCGGAGGAGCAGGAGGTGGATTCGGAGGAGGTAAGTATTTTCTTAACAAAAAAAACTTCCATAATATAGTTTTATTCTCTGTATATTTTATTGCGCTGTAGCTTCTCTGTTATGTTAAATACTTTAAACACAATTTTGCAAATTTATGTTCAGATATATAGTTGAAACCAAACTAAGGTCTTGGTCTTGATCTTGGTTTTGAACTTGCCTCAAGAGTCTTGCCAATCTTGCTTGTTTTTAATAATTTTTATTAGAGGTACTTTCGACATAGAAAAAAAACTTGAAATGAATAGCATTCGACTTGCAAGACCAACACGATGATCGAAAAAAACGGCGTCAGCGATAGTTATGGAATGAAAATCGCTGTCTTTTTATATGTAAAATTATATATCATCTTGTAAATAGTAGTGATGAGCGAGACTGGTCTTTGTCTTGCAGTCTTGATCTTGGACTAGAAGACCAAACCCAAGACCAGCGTTAGACCTGCAAGACCAAGACCAAGACCGACAGGTGCAAAATTGCACAACAATTGCAATGCAAACATTTACGCAAAACCAAGACAGGGCATGCAAGACTCTTGCGTTCTTGCATTTTCCTATACATTTTTTATTTACTCGCATTTTTCTTTATTTTAGAACGAGCAATTTTTCTTATAAAGTATCTATTTGTCTCAAAATGTTAATAATAAAAAAGTTTTTCCTTTTTTAAAAACGATCCGGGGACATACTCTATATCGTACGATCAATAGATCAATATTAAAAAAAACATGGGCATATGAAGATAGTAATCTAAAAACTTTTAATATCTAATATATATTCTTTTAATACGTAATTACCAATAAACTCAGTTATGTGTAATAACATGTTAAAAAAGGTAAAACGCACGTTTAAGTAAAATAATTCGAGTGTTAACACAGAACTCAACTCTAAAGTATACACATAGGATGGTTCGACATTACACTGACAACGCGGCATTTAAAAACAGCAGTATAAACTATAAATACAGTATAAATCATAAATACACAAGATGATTCATTATTAGATTGAAAAATTTCAAGAAGTGATACATAAACTGGATTTTTTCAAATTACCGTTTAAAAATATTCACGCATATATGCGAAACTACATATTATATTATAAATTGTCGTTGTAGTGTCGTTGAACAAATACTTACTATTCAGAAACAGACATTTTCAGAAAAACATTGTTTCTTTCTTTAAAGTTTTATTAAATTAACTACATTAAGTTACTTGAAAAAACATTTTTGTAAAGATTTTCTACGTAGAAATTACCTTTAGTAAAAATGTAAACAAAAGTACAAGACCTGCAAGAGTCTTTGACCAAGACCAAGGTGAGTCTTGATCTTTGGCCAAACCAAACCAAGCCAAGTGGACACCGTTTTCTTTCGATCATACAGTACTTTGAACACAATTGTGCAAATTTGTCTTCTTCTTCTTCTTGTAGGGCCATTACTGTCCTGTTAATTCTGTCAATTGCCTTATTGTGACTTTAATATCCAGCTGCTATACCTACCTTTTTAGAATCCTACCAACCAGTCTTGTTGTTACTGATTTTTGTGTTTTGCTCTATGTGGCAATTCAATCTGGACTCATCCTTTCTACGTGATCTCTCCAACAGGCACCTTGGTCTTACCTATTTGACAATGTCCTGCACTCCCAACTCTCTTAGTTAAATTTGTATATAAATAGTCAGAAGACATTTATCTCCTTAGATCATAATGGCATGTCGGCCTAGCCGCTTTCGCTTCTAAATTGATTTTTAATTTCTTGTAAATTAAATATTTCTGATTCTAGGCGCTGGAGGTGGTTTCGGAGGCGGCGGAGGTGGAGGCGGCGGATTCGGAGGCGGATTCGGAGCCGGTGGCGGCGGTGGTACCACCATTCAGAAGCATATTTACGTTCACGTACCCCCACCAGAACCAGAAGACTTCAGACCACCCAAGACCATTCCTGTAGCCCAGGCCCAGAAGCACTACAAAATCATCTTCATTAAGGTAACTATTTATTTTTTATTACAAATTTTAGTTAATCACAATGACGACTCAAAAATAGACCAGAATGAGAACTGACGACTCAAATATAGCACTTTTCAAAATATTTATAATTTTTTCAATTGCATTTTTATAAAACAATTTGTAGAAGTTCATACTTCCTGATAAAGAAATAGATCTGCAAATTTACTAGTTGAAAAATTTGCCTTTTAAGAATTCTTTTTAAGAATCTAGTAAGAATCTTTATTAGAAAATAACATTTATATATATGTATATACTTTTAGAAATATTAAGATAATAATCAGAGACTGTTCACAACCAGCTTACCGATTTACACTCATTTTAATGTACATACCGGCTGGTACTGAAAAAGCTGTGATAATATTAAATACGAAAAAGAAAAAGTAAAAACCAGATATTAAAAAGTTTTATATATCACTGTTCAGTAGTATAATTAAGACGATTTGTAATCTTTAGGCACCAAGTGCACCAACACCAACTGCTCCAGTCATCCCAGTGCAACCACAGAACGAAGAAAAGACCTTGGTCTACGTTTTGGTGAAGAGGCCAGAAGAAGCACCAGAAATCAACATCCCAACCCCAGCTCCCACTCAACCAAGCAAACCAGAAGTTTACTTCATCAGATACAAGACCCAGGTAAGCAATTCTCGTTTAAAATGCCAAGTAATTACACTTCGCTAATAATAAAATAATTAGACTTTTAATGTCTGAAATGAATTAGAATCAGACAATTCAAGACAACTACTTTACAACCAATATATCTATCTGAGAATTAGACGTTTATACCGTATGATCGAATAAAAACCGTGTCAGCGATGGCTATGAAATGATGATCGATGACATTTCCCATATAATTTTACATATAAAATGACAGCGATCTTTTATTCGATCATACGGTATTATTATTATTAGACAACAAATATACAAGTTCATACCAAATAAACTTTTAATCACGTGATTAAGCTTGACCGGCACCAGTGTTGCCCACTTTTATATATTTTCTTTTAATCAAAATATTTTAGAAAACAAAAATAAATTAATTATAAATATATAAACAGTTATTATTTACATCAACAAAACTCACTTTCTTAACAGCACTTAAGGGACAGAAAGGGCCATTACTACCGCTTTCCCGTTCAAAATATTCTAATAAAGTTGCGATGAGTTTTTTACGGCTAATAAGCTATCTTGTACCACTTCGCACGAAAAGAGTTTCTAAAAAGAACAATGTTCGACTGCAAGGTCTGCCATTAAACATTTTTAAGCTTAAAGTATCACAACACTATTTATTTAAACAAAAACTCGTACTACAAAACTAAAGTTTCAAATCAAATGACAATGTCAGGAAATAAATAAATAAATGCGGCAACTTGGCATTTTTTACAGCAGAGCTACCACCTGAATCCCCAGCGCGAAATTTAAATTCCACTTAGTCAGCACGGCGCCGAATATGTCCATGGTTGGCAAGAGTGAATTTAAAAATCGCGCCCTCGATTACGTAACTAAAAGTTTAATTGATATGAAATATATATTATCTTCGTTTATTATTTTATTAAAAAAGGAATACATAGAAAAATAAGTGATTCTATTTCAAAATACTCTTACTATACTTATGAATATAAAGAGATACTTACGTTAGGTTTAATATCAGTTTCTTCTTGAAACCTCTGGTCGATTTCGATATACTTTTAAAGAATTGTATATATTTATTACCAATTTTAAATGTTTTAAACACTATTTGTTACACGTAAAATACTATTTTTAGCTTTAAAAAATATTTTTTTAATTTATTGCTTTTTTAACACAGTATTGCTTTTTTTCTTGCACAGTCTTTAATTCACCTGAAGATTTAAACACTTACTTTGTTAATGTGGCTAAAAATTTAGTGAACACCATAACTCTTTCTGATGATTCACTTTCATATCTCCCCAAAGCAAATGAGAATTTACACATTTTCTTCTTCATGCCCGTAGATGCCGTTTCTTCTTCACGCCCGTAGATGAGCTCCGTAGTACAATTAATAGTATTAAAAACAAATCCTCATCTGGGACTGATGGGCTTACTCTCAAAATGTTCTCTAAACTTCCTGAATGCACATTAAACCATCTTACTACTTTAATTAACGAGTCATTCCAAAAAGGAGTTTTTCCAAACTGCCTTAAGACAGCAATAATTATTCCTCTGTATAAAGGAGGTGATAAAGATGAAGCTTTAAAGAACTATCGCCCAATTGCACTCCTGACCACATTATCTAAGATCATTGAAAGATTGGTTAAAAAAAGGTTTCTATCTTTTCTCCTTAAATATAAAATACTTACTACCCATCAATTTGGATTGGAAGTAACAGTTGCACAAATGATGCCATGTTCGACCTTTTTAATAATGTATACTCTAGCCTGAATAACCATCACTCTACAGCTACAATTTTCTGTGATTTCTCTAAGGCTTTCGATTGTGTAAATCATAATATCTTAATTAACAAATTGCAATACTATGGTTTCAGGGGAGTGCCGCTCTAATGGCTTAAGTCATATCTTGGCAACAGAAGGCAGCTTGTGAGGACTGCTTGTGAGGACATCTACGTTCTATGTCTTCTTGTAAGCCTATAGAATGTGGTGTCTCTCAGGGTTCAGTACCTGGCCCTATTTTGTTTTTGGTGTTTATCAACGACATTGCAAATCTAGACATTAGCGGTAAAATCTGCCTCTTTGCGGACGATACTAGTTTCACTTGGAGCGGCCCAGATGTTGCGGCACTATATGATACTATATCCAGTGACTTACGCACTATTAAGTCTTGGTGCGATTTTAATCTCTTATGCTTCAACCAATCAAAAACTAAAGCTTTGTCATATAAAAGTACTATACAACCTTTTGTACTTAATAACACCACTATTGACTGATATCGTGGACTCTGTGAAGTTCTTAGGACTTGTAGACAACTCGTTAAAATGGGACTTTCACATCGAAGCTCTATCAAAAGAAACTAAGCGCTGCCTGTTTTGCGCTAAGATCAGTTTCTAAGGAACTTAACTTCTCAACCTCTAGAATAGCCTATTATGCCCTTTTTGAGTCACATCTTCGTTATACCCTTCCATTCAGGGGGTACTTGCTGCGCAACAAAATTTGATCGTGTTTTCAGACTTCAAAAAGAGCAGTTCGATATTTATTGGGACTGAACAGTAGAACTCACTGCCAGAATTTCTTTAAAAATTTGAAAATACTGACTCTTCCTTCTTTATTCATTTTTGAATCCGTTTGCTTAATCCGCAAGCACATATCTGCTATTCCCGAAAGGCCATCTCATAACTATCCACTTAGGTATGCAGAGCACGATCTTTATCTGCCAACCCCGAGCTTAGAACTAGTTAAAGGTTCAATACTGTACAATGCCAAAAAATGTACAATCATTTGCCTTTGAATATCAAGACGCTTTCATTCTTTCCCGCATTTCGCAAAGCTCTAAAATCATACTTACTGGAGAGAGATGGTTAATTATGAACAATTTTGAATTTTAAAATTTTGATCATCTCACACACTGGTCAAGGGTCAAGTATTTAATATTTTATAACTCTAAAATCATATCTATTTACTGTGTACTGTTCTAAAATTGTCCATGTATATTCTTTTGTAATTTCAAAGACTTAAATTTTTTTTGAATTGTATTATTTGAATTGTGTTTTTGTTGTTTGTATTTTTTGTGATTTTGTTGTTTGTGAGTGCTTTGTCGATCAAGCTGTTTTGGATTTTTGTACAATAAAGCGTTGTTTGTTTGTTTTGTTTGTTAACATTTCAAACTACGCTTTTTCAAACATGTCTTGCAAATCCTACAATTTAATAGCTGTTAGTAAGAAGTTTCAGTTATCACTTGCTCTCCACAGAGTGTCTCAAAAATACAATTCCTTACTTTTTTTCCGTTCCTGTATATGATAGAAAAAGGAATCGTTTAAAAATGATCATAAGTCGTATGTATCTGTGAAGAATTAAGCTACAATTTTTTTTTTAAATAAGATGTCGAAATCGCTTAGATGATTATATTTATACCTATACCAATCCAATCAAACAAAATTATTGGTAGGTGGATTATATGTATATATTTATAACCAATGCAATTTCCGCAAGATTATAATCAAACAATTTTCGATTATTTGAATAGAACCAAGGAAAATTTTAAATAGATTTGGTTATTTCACTTTTTACTATCGAATGATTCAATTCATGAATTTCTCTTTTCACCAAATTGGTCAAGATGTTCGTGCAGCCATTAGCTTCCTTATTATGTTACGCGTACATCTTCATTTTTGTCCTTTTTGACGCTGTATCAGCCTTACAGAGAATGCAGAATACCCGTTGATGATCGCTTTTGCCATAAACAGATACTAGCTTGCATATACGGATGTATTTTGCATCGGGTAAATTGAAATAATCGATTAAACAACTCTTACTTTATTCTAAATACGCATAAGAATTTACTTTTGGTTTTTCTTTATTGGTGAAATACTTAAAAGAAAGTGTTTGAAATATTTGTTTATATCTTATGATGACACAAAATATACAGAGGAATGTTTGCATTCTGTTTGTTAGAGCTTAAATACCTGACGGTCTGTGTTTTAATATTTTTGGCTTAAATACCTATTTGTTTATCTACATAAAAAGTTGTTTTTTTTTAATTTTATTTTTTTGAACGGATTTCACTTACCGAGTTCACTTGTCCCGCTTTGCTTGTCCAGAATTTCCAACAAATTGTATCGAAATTTTTATTGGGCAGTACTAATTATTTTCTAGTTTGATCAAATTGACTTCGACTTCGATTTTTCATCCAGAGACTGTTAAAGCAAATATATAATATGTAATGATCTAATGTACAAAAGTAAAGAGGTGAAGTAAAGATTTCAGTTAACGTCTCCTTTTTGCTGCTAGGGCTAAGCTGGACGGGGCCTACTTTAAGCGGAATCCGAATCGCGGTCCTCGCTCGCGTGCCATATCATGGTCAGTGGCCTACCGACTTAGGAAGTGTCTAAATTAACTCTTACTCACGAGATATCCGATCTCATCCGGCCTCGAATGAACCGGCGTGAATGAGCAGTGTGTATCAATAGATTTTACACTTTTCCCTTTGTCAACAGCACGATACAGAGTTTCGAACCGGTCACCTTTCCATCCACCAGTATCGCCGTACGTCGCTTAACTTCGGTGTTCTAATGGGAACCGGTGTTTCGACGTAGCTAGGCCGGTGCCTTGTCTAATGTATACAGGGTGCTACAAATTCGATGTAGCTATCTCGGAAACCGTAATAGATACGAAGATGGTTAAATTAGGGCAAAGTCGCTTAGGCTGTTCACCAAGATACCACCAAAAAATCTTAAAAATTTCAAGATTGCTGAGTTTTTGGAAAAAACGGTTTTTTTGAATATCCATTTTTTTTCCTGTCGTTACGTTTTAGAAAATCAAGAAACTAATTGCACATTTTCATAGCTACTGATAGTATTTTTAGATTTTCAAATTAGCTGCTAATTTGTGAGATACAGAGGCCAACTCAATTTTTTTAAATACGGACCTGCATTTTTATTTCAGATTCTGAAAGAACTCAGTCTTCTGAGTACAATGATATGCCACACTTTACATGTTTTTCTGTTTTGGGTACCTTAACAACAACAAAACTATTTAATTGTTATTTAAAATAATTTCAAGTCCGACTCTGTTTTTTTTTTGATCTCATTATATTCATCGCAACAATTTTGGTCAGCGCTAATTAACATTGAATAAGGAAAATCGAGCCAATTGGAAGATTCAAATAAATTATATCCAGGTCAGCAATTTAAAGATATTATTTTTTTAACTTTTTTATTGTGAATTTGAAATCTCAGTGTGCGATCTAATAATATGCGTAATATTAATCATAGTTATCATAAGTAAATCAACTTCTACAAACTAGTTTCTAATGTTCTACATGTTCGAAAGGGTTACCAGTTACCATCCTCCCTATTGCACAAATGTATTTTTCGTTCAATTTTATTTATAGCTCTTTGAACTTTCTTCTTATACTTCAGAATGCATTTTGTACTCTTTATTGGAAATGTTGAGATGTATTGATTTCACTTTTACAAATGACGTTAAGTAATATATTCATTTGTATATTATTTTTTTATTATTTTATTGCATTTTATTTTCCATATTTAATGTTATACCCCACATAATTTTAAGTTTGAAAGCTTATTAATATTGTAATGATGAATAGATTAAGATAATAGTTTGGTTTGGTTTGGTTTGGTAAAATCTGCCTCTTTGCGGACGATACTAGTTTCACTTGGAGCGGCCCAGATGTTGCGGCACTATATGATACTATATCCAGTGACTTACGCACTATTAAGTCTTGGTGCGATTTTAATCTCTTATGCTTCAACCAATCAAAAACTAAAGCTTTGTCATATAAAAAGTACTATACAACCTTTTGTACTTAATAACACCACTATTGACTGATATCGTGGACTCTGTGAAGTTCTTAGGACTTGTAGACAACTCGTTAAAATGGGACTTTCACATCGAAGCTCTATCAAAGAAACTAAGCGCTGCCTGTTTTGCGCTAAGATCAGTTTCTAAGGAACTTAACTTCTCAACCTCTAGAATAGCCTATTATGCCCTTTATTTCATTTGTATATTATTTTTTATTATTTTATTGCATTTTATTTTCCATATTTAATGTTATACCCCACATAATTTTAAGTTTGAAAGCTTATTAATATTGTAATGATGAATAGATTAAGATAATAGTTAAGATAATAATTAGAAAAAAATAAGATGGCCTCTGTATCTCACAAATTATCAGCTAATTTGAAAATCTAAAAATACTGTCAGATAGCCCTTATAAAGTGGCTATGAGAATGCGCAATTAGTTTTTTGATTTTTTTAAAAGTAACGACAGGAAAAAATAAAATTCATTTTCAAAAAATCCGTTTTTTCCAAATAACTTAGCAATTCTTGAAATTATTAAAACTTTTTTGATGGCATCTTGGTGAACATCCCAAGGTGCAACTTTGCCCCAATTTAACCATCTTCGCATCTATTACGGTTACTGAGATACCAGTGCTCGTACCTCGAATTTGTAGCACCCTGTATAATGTATAAACAACTGTATGTATCATTCAATGTAAGAAAAAAGAGTAAGTTCATTTTGATTATCTGTATTAGCTCTCTACTCAAAAATATGTCCATATCAAGTAAATCAAATTTTGTTTTTCGAGAATCTCGCATCCTGTGAGAAATGATCTAAAATATACAGGATATGTTAACGATTTTAGAAAATATCATCCGAGACATAAATTTGGTGCACTAAATAAAAAGAAATAAACGTCACAGATACATTTGTTTCTATATTTTTAAATTTTTATCACACGAAATTTGCATAGAAAATGCTTAGACGACAATTATTACCTATATGACACACAGCGAACTCAGTGTCATCGATGCTCACTGGTCGAATATTCAACCGCTTACGTTAACTATTAAATAAATAAATAAATAAATAAATAAATGCCTTTATTGTCAATTTTTTTTTCAATTTGTAGACAAAGGTAAACTAACAAACAAAGTAAAAAAACAAGGTACACAAACAAACAAACAAAAGATAATACAAAACATTATACAAATAATATTGTCAGTCTTATTGTTAAAATAAACATTTATAAATGTTTATAATGTCAAAGAACAAAAAAATAAAAATAATATTCCAAAATATTTAGCTATAGTTTATAGTAAAATATCAATGACCTCTAAATAAATTAATTTCGATGTCATTAGTAAATATAGTAATAGCAAACATTAGACCAGTGTTTACAAGATCAAATTTGATTTTCAAAATATAATTCATTTACGGCGTAGAAAGCCTTGTCTAGTAAATAAGAGTTCAATGCTTTGCGAAATAAAAAAAATGATGTTATGGATTTGATTTCAAATGGCAGGTGATTGTGCATTTTTTTCGAGTTGTATAATATTGAACTTTTAACTAACTCTGAGCGTGGGGTAGGTAGATAAAGATCTTGCTCCGCGTTCCTGAGTGGATAAGTGTGAGATGACCTTTCTTGAGAAACTGATACATGTTTACGTATTAAGCAAACGGATTCAAATATAAATAAGGAAGGAAGAGTCAATATTTTTAATTTTTTAAAAAAGTCCCGGCAATGAGTTCTGCTGTTTAGTCCCAGTGAATATCGAACAGCTCTCTTCTGGAGCCTGAAAATGCTGTCAAATTGAGTCGCACAACACGTACCCCAGAATGGAAGGGCATACCTGAGGTGCGACTTAAAAAGTGCATAATAAACAGTTCTAGCCACTGACAAGCTAAGCTCCTTAGAAACAGACCTTAATGCAAAACAGGCAGAGCTCAATTTTTTCGACAAAGCTTCGATATGTATGTCCCATTTCAGAGAATTGTGCACAACAAGCCCTAAGAATTTTACAGATTTGACGACGTCAATGGTGGTGTTGTTAAGTACAAAAGGCTGCAACGAGTTTTTATACGACAAAGCTTTAGTTTTAGAAATGTTGAGACTCAGGAGGTTCGAATCGCACCAAGATTTAATGGTGATTAAGTCATTTGATACAATCCTATGAAGTGCCGTGATGTCCTTGTTGCTCCAAGTGAAGCTAGTGTCGTCCGCAAAAAGACATATTTTGCCACTGATGTTTATGTTAGCAATGTCGTTAATAAAAAGAAGAAACAAAATAGGGCCTAGTACTGAGCCTTGTGGTACTCCACATTCTATTGGCTTGCTAGAAGACAACGAGGTATCCACCCTCACAAGTTGACTTCTGTTGCTCAGATACGACTTAAACCATTCGAGAGATGATCCCCTGAACCCATTGTGCTGCAGTTTATTAATTAAGATCTTATAATTTACACAATCGAACGCGTTAGAAAAATCACAGAAAATTGTTGCTGTAGAATGATGGTTGTTTAGGCTGGAGTAAACTTTATTAAGGAGGGAGTTCACATAGCGTCATTTGTGGACTTGTTGCTTAGAAATCCAAATTGATATTCAGTAAGTATTTTGTACTTAAACAGAAAAGATACCAGCCTTCTTTTAACCAACCTTTCTAGGATCTTAGATAGCGTTGGAAGGAGTGCAATTGGGCGATAGTTAGAAGCTTCATCTTTGTCTCCTCCTTTATGCAGAGGAATGATTATTGCCGTCTTAAGTCATTTTGGAAAAATACCATTTTGGAACGACATGTTTATTAAAGTTGTTAGGTGATTCAGAGTGCTTTCTGGCAGATTCAAAAACATTTTTAAAGTTAGCCCCTCGGTCCCAGAAGAGGATTTATTTTTGATGTTATTAATTGTACTGCGAAGCTCTTCTAAAACTACGGGCGAAAAAAAGAAACTGTGTAAGTTTACAATATCATTAGAGAGATAAGAAAGTGGATCATGAGGAGGACATATGGTATTAGTTAAGTTTTTCGCTACATTTACAAAGTAATCGTTAAGGTTCTCAGGTGAGGTAGAGATATTGCTAGACGAAGAAGCTTTGTTTCTCAACTCATTCACAATAGACCATGTTTCTTTAGCAACATTACCAGAATTGACTATTTTTCTATTATAATAAAGGTCCTTAGCGGCTCTTATAGTCTTATGATAAATTTTTCTGTATAGTTTTATGTAATTGTGGAAGAAGAGACTGTCTGAGAATTTTTTTAAGTGAGATAATGAATGCATATTTTTAGAAGATATGCGTAGACCTTTAGTGGTCCAAGGTTTATTATGCTTATTTTTTATAGGCCCTAGACTGGTTAATGTTTTTACGAAAATAGAAAATTCGGTGTCGACATCATAAGAGCTAGTATCCCAGTTGGTTGTTTTACATAAGTGACTGAACTTTTGAGTATTCTTTTCTGAAAAAAATACGGCATAATTTACGAGGGGCATTTTTGATTTTGAACTCCATCGAAAATTCAGTTAAAACTGCTTCATGATCAGAGAGACCCGAGCTAAAGACGTTGCAGGCGATGGAGTTAGGATCAAAAGGTGACACAACATACTCTATTTACAACATAGTCTACTATATTCGCGCCAATTCGGCCAACGTATAGATATGGTTGATTAAATGGTCAAAGCGCGCATAGAAATAAGCATAGCAAACAAACTGGGCGATAATACACTTCCACGCGACTGATTAGTTGGTTAAATTAAAGTGGTCGATTTAGACCATCAACCTATACAGGGTTAAGTCTAATTGATTTTCTGTGATAGGTTATTCAGTAGATTGTCTAGCCGGCAACAAATAAACAGTTTGGAACAATTTTTTATAAATACCACCGTTGATTTCAGTTAAAAACTAACTAATTTCTTTGTTGTTTTCAGAAAACCGCCGTTGGTGGTGGTGGTGGATTCGGAGGTGGCGCTGGAGGTGGATTTGGAGGTGGAGCCGGTGGTGGATTTGGCGGAGGAGCCGGAGGTGGCGGTGGATTTGGAGGTGGCATTGGCGGAGGTATGTATTTCAGAACATAATAAATAAATATAGTGAATGCCAGGAGCAAGAAGCAGAAAGTAACATCATATAAAAAAGAAGACATTCCATCACAACACTGGAAATAGAAGAAGAATAATATATTGGGGACTGCTAATACTAATACACAGCTCAGGATCTGTACTACCAGAAATCGACAAGAATTTAATAGAATAGAGTACATAATAGATATGGAATAAATCCAATCATATTCAAGTCTAGAATGCCACTTTATTTAAAGAAGAAAACATTGGACCGATCAGTGTACTACCAGTCATGAACTATGTATGCGAAACCTGGAAACTTAAAACGGACATTATAAGGAAGCTGCAGGTCGCACACTCGATGGAATGAAATATGCTGGGAATAACCAAGAAAGACCGTAAAAGATTAGAGTAGATACGACATAAAACCCAGGTAATACATGTCATCCACAGAGTCAGGTGGCAAATAGGCAGGGCACCTGCCAAGAAGGACGGACAATGGTCAACATTGGATGGATGGATCCAGGGGTGGATGGGCCATATGGGAAAACGGGAAAATTCCCGGTGGGCCGCTGGAAAGATGGGCCGGTGGGCTGGCCGCCGGTCCCGATCAGAGCTCAAAAAAAGATTGGATTAACAAAATTTAAATGGTTAATCTTCTAACTAAAGTGACGTAAGATTCTTAGAGCCTCAATAACTAACTAATCAATTTGCATCAGTATAATCGTCAGTTGCTTTTAAACATAAAAACCAATTTGTAAAATAACTATTGTAAGATGTCTCTGAGACACTTATAATTTTAATAAACATCTGTTGTTTGTTAATTCGGTTTGAAAATTTTTGTTATACAAGGTGACTTTATAAGTGCAAATATTTTCAGGGCTGGTAGATCTCAATAAAAGGAACATAGTATATATTCTCTTTACCGTGTTTCAAATAAGTCCAACCGAGTTATTAAGGTTTGAAAATTAAAAAGAAAAGATTTTTTTTAAAAAAAAAATTAGCCACTTCAATTTTTCGGTATTTGCATCCCTTTTCGTGCCGTAATATCAGAGATTAAGAAACCGTGTATACCGTGGGAAAATTTGCGGTGATCAGGAAGTTCTAAAAAGTTTTCTAAAATACACAGGAAAATTTAAAAAAAATGCATGATTTTTATCATCTTTCTTTGCAAAAGAAACCTCATAAACGTGTTCTTGGGGTCGAAATATACCACCACCGAAAATATTTGCATTTATTTAAGACTCACCCTGTATAGTTTTACCACTATTTTTTATTAATAACTAATAAATATGACTGACTGACAGCAGAAAAAAGAATGAATAGCATTAGGTAAATTTAAATAGTCTCGATCTAAGTGTATACTAAGAATACTGTAACACGTAGATTGGCAACTGGGGACCTCGGTGCAATATTTTTCGAGCTCCCCTTTGTAAAAGATTGACGAATTTGACGCGAACTCTGCGGTTGGCAGAGAAAACATGTGATGGCTATCTCTACACTTCAGCAGTCTAAATTGTTGTTGAAAATGTTGCTAAAATTAATTTACTAAAAATTACTGAGCCAGCAGAGAAGAGTTAAATAAGGTTTAAACTAGATTAGAAAATAAAATATTATGAATATTATGGACTGTAACATAGCTCAGGACACATTTATGTCCACTGCCTAGGTCTTGTTCTTTTTCGTTGTCATGGCATTATCATATAAGATGCCAAATGCAGAAATATATAGGAAAGTGATAAGAACTAATATAATAACCTAAAAAATGCAGCAGTTTTAATTTTAATGGCGACCGCGGTTCATTCAGTTAAAAACACGTATACACGACGAGGCTGCTGCTCTACCAGAAAAGAGAGAACTTCTTTCTACATTGTGTAAGAAAGTATATACCTGAAAAACTAAAAACAATGTATTTTACAAAGGATTGGGCCAGCTGAACTGAATGAGTCAGGAAGTCTTAAAGTTTTTCAAAATCGTGACTCAAAATCGTAGCCTATTCAAGATCAAATTACCTTTATCGATATAATGGAAATAAAGTAGTAGAACCCTGTAAAATTGATCTTTGTGAAAATTTGATCAAGACAATTTCAATTTTTTTAAAAAACTGGAGGCAAAAGAGCTTTTTTTGTGTGAGCGAAAAACACCCTTACTTATATATTAATAATTAATATGTTTCTTCGTTATGGCCATTTTGTTTTTGTGGATTTGGGCCGGTTGCTTGTTATTCCCGGGCCGGTTTCCACTTCCCCATCCACTCCTGGATCACAAAAATTACAGCATGATGCCCACGTAGATTTAAGAGACCTAGAAGAAGACCAAACTTGAGATCGGACCGGGATATTAGGAAATTAGCAGGGATAAGTTGGGCCTGCATAACCAGCAATAGACAACAATGATTCCAATTACAAAGAGATTATATAAATATGCGAGGGAGAGATCATTGGAAATAGTTGAATAAGTTAAAATGCAAAAAATTATGATGATGAATATGTGAAAACCATTAATATATACAAAAATGTTATAAACAAGAAATAAACGGTAAAACAGAGAAACAGTATTAAAAAACATAAAAATAGATAAAAAAATAATATTAATAAGAGTGTTTTTTATTTTTTGGCAATATTTTCTTGATCATTCTTTTTTTTCTTGTTTATTAATGGTTTTTTACTTATTATTTAGTGTTTTTTTCTGTCTGACGTCACTTCCCGCTCGTTGCTTCTGGAATAGAAATCCACTTCTTCTTCTACTTGAACTACTAAAAAAACTTTTACACAAAATAATTAATTAAAATATATTTTTAATAGGTGACGGAATTGGAGGAGGCCATGGAGGTGGCATTGGAGGTGGCATCGGAGGAGGTAAGATTGATCTCCTTAGTTTTTCTTGTACATCGAACGATTTTCGAGAAAAAAAAATTAATCAATTACATTGCATACCGTATGCTGCATCGGAATACTGGACATTCCCATGTAATTGGCTCCCTTGTTAATTTTACAGCCGACTGGTATATAGGTTTTTAAATATCTGCGTATGCTGAATATTGAATTTTGAACGAGCCGATTTTAAGTAATTTAAGAAAAACTGTATCTATATTTAAATTAACACTGAACAGGTAACAATGAAAAATCAGGTAACATGCAAATGCCAACGTACCTTAAAGCCCCGTTCTCGGAACTATGAATTTTGTACAAATCTCATTGGTTCATTTGACATGTCGATGTTACGGTTAAGGTCCGATGTCCGGTTAATGTCGACATTACCCGGTTAATCTCGAGAATAACATACAACAAAACAGCCAAAAACGTAAACAAAACCAAACATTAACCTGTTAATGTCGACATTAACCGGACATCGGACTTTAACCGTAACATCGACAATACAAAGTTCTGAGAACGGGGCTTAAGTATGGTCATCCTATAATTTTGTCAATGTCAAATTGTATTCATTATATTTTCTAAACGTTAGACTTTTGCTTCATTTGAACCATTTTTAAATTACAAAAATACATTTCGGGGACACTAAGCGTAGGTACTATAATGTAGTAATGTTTAATGCTTATCGGCTCTACCAAAAATGTTCAAATTTGGCTTGTGTTAGTTAGGTTAGGTCATAAGCAGACCTTATGGTAATATACAGTTTTTTAAGAAATCTATTTACGATTTAGCTGTAAAATCAGGAGTAAAGCCAATATTTGAACAGTTCTAAATTTGTATGCGATTTCCTATACCGGGTGTTGCATCGTCGAGCGGGACATAGGAAATCCCATGTAAATTTTAATGGGGTCAATTATTGGCTTCCCTAATTATTTTAGAGAATAATTCTATTTAGGTTTATTGAAGAGCACTAAAACCCACATTCAAAAGAATAACTTTAGATATTTTTGATTAGCCCGTTTACGAGTTATCGCCAATTTATTTTTAAATATTTCTCCTTTCTTATGGCCCTGTATTTACTTATGAGCACAAGTCAAGGTTAAAGATAACTGTCAAATGAAGTTGTCATTTCACAAATTTATCTATTTAGTGTTATTATTATTATTAAAAACTCATACCTACATCGAAAATATTAACCATGAATTACACTACCGAAGAAAAAGTATTGATGATTAAATGGTATTATCAAGGAAATAGTTATCAAAATGTGTCGGACATGTTTGCTGCTCTGTATCCGAATAGACCGATACCTGGAAAATCTACAATCGCAAGGAATATCCAGAGATTTGAGACCAAAGGTACCCTAATAAATAACTGCAGATGTGAAGCAAGGCAGGAACAAAAAGAAGATGCAAGAAATGATACCGACTTGGAAGTTTTATTGTGCGTGGAAGGGAACGATGGAAAGATCAGCACAAGGAAACTTGAGGATGAAATAGATCACACTACAGCGTTTCGAATTTTGAAACGACATAAATACTAGTCCTTCAAATATGAAAAGCCCCAAGAGCTATGAGATGGGGACGAAATACGGCGGCAGGCGTTTTGTTTTGATATGATGGAAAGAGCAAACACGGATAGGGAATTTTTAAAAAACATATGTTTCACTGACAAATGCACGTTTACCTTAAATAATGAACCCAATGTTCAAAATTATCGATATTGGAACAAAGAAAACCAACACAGGTTTGTCGAAACAAGGACGCAATATCCACAGAGAGTAAATGTTTGGGCAGGGATATTCGGACACAATATTATTTCTTACGTTAAATTTAAATGCAGAATATTATTTGGAACTACTCGAAAATCATATTTTACCTGCTTTACATGATGCCGCTAGGGAAAATCAGAAAGTTTGGTACCAATTGGATGGCTGCCCGGTACATAGTACCCTGGCTGTTCTGGAATATTTAGACAACAGTTTTAACGGAAACGTTACTGGTCTAAATCATACAGTAAATTGGCCAGCAAGGTCTCCTGATATTTCGCCAAATGATTTCTTTCTCTGGGGCCATTTAAAAAACAGGATATACAAGGATAAAAAATACCCAAATCTAGACGAGTTAAAAAATGCTATTTCTCCGAATGCAATAGAATTTCAGTTTACCAACTAGCGAATGTAAGAAGAGAATTTTATGATCGCCTGGGTTATTGTCTAGCAGTCGTTGGAGGAATATTTGAACATCTTCTTAAATCCTAAAATTCAAACAATTTAATAGTACCTAAATTACTAAGTTATTGAATATTGTAATAATACTATAATTAACCTTGTAATTGATTACTTTATTTTACGTTAATTCATATTAATTTTTATTTATAAATATATCTTTAAGATTTCCGATGTAGGAATGAGTTTTCAATAATAATAAAGCACTAAATGGATAAATTTCTGAAATGACAACATCATTTGACAGTTATCTTTTACCTTGACTGGTGCTTATAAGTAAATACAAGTCCATAAGAAAGGAGAAATATTTAAAAAGAAATCGGCGATAACTCGTAAACGAGCTAATCAAAAACATCTAAAGTTATTCCTGTGAATGTGGGTTTTAGTGCTCTTCAATAAACCTTAATAGAATTATTCTCTAAAATAATTAGTGAAGCCAATAATTGACCCCATTAAAATTTACATGGGATTTCCTATGTCCCGTCCGACGATGCAACACCCAGTATGTTTCCAACGCGGATTGGTTTGGCACCACCTGGTCGCATACTCTTTTTCTCATTATTTCAAGAAAATAGGCCTTCAAATACGAATACTTGCATTTTTGATATGAGTTACTTGGAAAGATCTAAAAACGAATTGTGAAAGATACTTTTAAATCCGCCTCCGAGAAGGGGTGAAATAAAGAAATAAACTTATTTTTTCGAAATTTCGGAGAAACTGTAAGGACTGGAAAAAAAGTTTAAAAAAAGTGGTAGAGCGTCCAATTTTACAGAAATGGTTTCTATATTTTTTTTGCTCAGATCAAAATATAATAATATAACCGAGATATGGTGGCTAGAAGCGAGGGGAGGATAGTAGAAATTTTAAAAAAATTATAAGTTGCTGAAAAATTCATATATTTAACATTTTTATTCAATTTGCTTTATCCGAAATTTCTAAAAAATAATTTTATTTATTTATTTCGCCCCTTCTCAGGGGTGAATTTAAAACAATCTTTGACAATTCGTTTTTAGATTTTTCAAAGTAACTTATATCAAAAATTCAAGCCAAACCAAACTTCTTATTTGAAGGCCTATTTTCTTGGACTACATACTACATGCTTTATTTAAACACATTTAAACTTTGACGAAATAACTTTCTGCGATTTTTTCACATATTTGATATGACTTCACTGGGTGGTTAAGCACTGAAAATTACTTAAAAGCACGTTTTGTTAGTGACCCTTAATTAGAGATGAGCAAAACTGCGATTCTCCAATCGCAATTTAAACTGCGATTGCGATTTTTAAATCCCAGCGACTATAACCTGCGATTGCGTTTTTAATATTTAAATATTATACTAGGTATATATAGTTAATAATAATCAGTAGTTTGGTTTTTAATTTTTTTTAACATCTGCAACACAGTATAGGTATGAAAACTTTATAGTATATGCTGCAACTGATTGGCAACTAAATCTAATTCTTTACCCAATTCTTAAAAAATCTAAAAGAATTATTTTTTTAACATTGCTGACCTTTATAACTTTTTTAATTTTTTCAGATAAAAAAAATATTTGGTACGTTGGTATATGACATAAATCAGGATTGATTGATGTATTCAATTGATTTGTATTCAATCCTGTTTCACCATAAGTAACTATAATTTTTAATTTTTTAATGATACCCTCGGTATTTTTCAAGGTATTTTTAGTTTACGTTATTTGATAGAAAAATACATGACATTCTAGATTGAAATTTAAAATACGATTTTTTTAAGCGAAAATGTTAAAAGTTTCAATATGATATGCCATTCTATTCAGAGTATCATTTTCTATCGAATAAAGTAAAAAAATACCGAGTTAAAAATCAAAAGTTGTAGTAATTTCCGCTAAAAAAAAAAGTGTCCAAAAATAATTGAATACCGTCAATTAATCCTTATTTATGTCGTATACTAACATAAAAAAGTTATAGAGGTGAACCACTATTGAGAAACACCCGGTATATTATGATCGTGTAATATAAATATAAATAATATAAACATAAATAAATATAAAAAATAATATCTTCTCTATCAATAAATAATATCAGAGAAAAAATTCAATCACAGTTTACTATAACGACAAAAGACCACAAAATTACCTTCGCAACAACATTGCTATCCGCAACTCCTAAAAATTCAAACTCGAGGATAGAAATCACAGTCCCATTTTACAAAAATTACAATCGTAGCAAAAAATCAAATCGCAGCAATATCGCAAATCACTAGTAATACTTGCGATTGTGATTTTAAAATCGCTGCGATTATATCGCAGTCTGCGATTTTTTGCTCATCTCTATCTTTATATTTTTTATAAGATTCTAAAACTATAATGATTCATATTTATTTTCAGGAATTGGTGGAGGCAGTGGCGGCGGTGTATCCTCCAGCTACGGCCCACCCGGAAAATCCGGTGGCTATTAAACCCCATCAACGCAAACGTGACCTTGGGTGCGCGGTGTGGCGGGCGCCCCTGACTTATCGGTCTCTTCACCCCCTCCCCACACAAATCGTACGCATCACTCATCGTTCATTATGACCCGTAGGAGATACAGGGACCCCATGGGAGCGCCCCCGTACCCCCAACCCCCCATTTTTTAGTCAATAGTGAGCCTTTAAGTATTTTTTCTCATTTTTTTGCTTGATTTTTTCCGGCGTGGAAATTATTCGGCAACCGCTACGCCACTGGAGCTTCAGCCACCCCACTTCGCGTTTTTAAGACTTCGATTGGTCGCCGTATGCCCGTATTTTCCCTTTGCGAGGGAGGGATCGGCTGGGGCAGTGGCGTATCGTGGATTTTGTACATATTATTATAATTATTCGTGCAGTGTGTATTTTATTGTGTATATTTTATATATAATATATTTTTTTATATATATTTTTGTATATTTCTGTGAATAAAATACGGTGACAAATAAATGTATTTAAAAAAAATATATAGTTTTATATTATTTTATAATGACAGTTGGATATAAATGATATTTATTAATAGCAAGATTAATTCTTTATTGCAGAAATAACAATACAATAATTATTTGCAAAAAGAACAAAAAACAATAAAAAAGACAAAGTTCAGTTCCTATCATGTGAACCAATTATTTCTAACCTATTGTTATATAAATAATTACTCTAAAAATACAAAGATAGAATATTAAATAGATATTTTATTATGTTCTTTATACAGGGTGAGTCCTAAATAAGTACAAATGAGGCGTCAAGTAGCAAAACCCGCCTTATTCCACAAACGTTGTTAGCAAAAATTGTTTTAGCAAATATTTGAAGCGTTAATTTACCAAAAACGTGTCCATTGAGTGCTGTCATTTTATATATAAATTTTTATGGGAAATGTCATCGATCGTCATTTTCTAGCCAACTGGACGCCGTTTTTCTTTTTCGATCATACGGTATTTGCATCCAACAACAAGCAAACTTGATTTATTAAATATACAGTACGTCTGTCCGTTCTGTAGCTACGGGGTATCCGTGAGAAGGGAAACGATATTCTCTCGATGTTTTTCGTAAGAAATTAGACGACGTGTCCCACCAATAAAAATTCGACAAATTTGCAAGTAGCCAATAAAATGAGTGGGCGGAGCGATTTGCGGTGACGTACTCGTCAAGTCGACGTATAAAATATATTGCTGTTTATTTAAATGTTTTTTGTCCGCATTCCTTTCATAGACACAGATCCAGCAGCCGAACTGTACTATTTTATTAAAATTAAGTAAGGATTTGAAAAGACGCCAGTAGTTATGGTATTATACTTGTGTAAAAAGCTTAGGAAAAAATGCGGGATTTGTAACAATTATGACAATAAAAAGCAAATATACATGAATAAGATAATTTTGCTGCAGTAACGCAATTTATTGTAGTGAATTTTATATAGGAACGGGCAACGTTTACTGCAGTTTGGGATTATGATTATGTAGATTTCGGGATCCACTATTAATATATGTCATTAGGCCACTTTTTTAAAAAATGGATAAGACAGGTTTTGCAACTTGACGCCTCAAATATTTTCAGGGCTAGTAGATTACGATAAAAGAAACATATTTTCTCTTTAATGACGTGTTTCAAATAAGTCCAAAATAATCAAGTTGTTTTTCTTTAAAATAAAAAAAAAACATTTTTTGCTTAGATTGTGGGAATCCAATTGCCATCATCCATCATCAAGATATTACGTATTTAAACTAAAAATTTAAAAAAAATCTTATATCCGTGTATCGGGAGCTAATAGTCCCTAATATGGGTTTTTAGACCAATCTAATCTGATAGATCAAGTCTGCGGAAGAAAACTGCGTTTGCTCATCACTACTGGGACTGGGCTTGCTACAATGTACAAAGAGCACAGACAAAGAGTATTAAGATATTCTTTGCTTACTATCATCACCTTTCCATCACGGTCTGCTAACGACATCTCTCCATAATATACGAAACGACCAACGGTAGATTTCTATAAGAGATTTCTTTTAGTCTATGATGAACAGAATCTAGAGATAGCGCTCTAGACGTCGAAAATAATATATTTATTTATTTATTTATCGTATGGCTCATACGTATGCAAGAAAACCAGACACTTAAACATAGACATAAAATAAACTACAATGTAAATGAAAACATTACAATGTAAATATAAAAAATAACAAGTATATTATAAAAAGACAACATAAAAAACGAACACTATATATTATCACCTTGATGCCCTATCCATTCCAAAGCTGATGGAAAAGCCTCCAGAAAGTCCCTCCAGTCTTCACCATAAGCGCGTAGGTTGCACTCTCTAGTTATGTGATGGATGGTTTGGTGAGGGGATCCACAATCACATTCTGGGGAAAGTATTTTTCCCCACTTATAAAGGGAATCAGCACATCTTCCATGGCCAGAGTGTATCCTATTCAAAGTTGACCATGTTTTCATGTTTAGATCGGTACCCGGTGTCTGGCAATAGTTTTTTGAACCAGGAGTATAGGTGCGCATCGGCTATTTCTCTCCATAACTGAAGCCAATGTTCTCGATAATTGTAGTTCCTGTTTTTTAGTTGTTCAGCAGTTCGCAAAGGTGGATTCCTCGACTTAAGTCTATTCACCTGTAAAGCAGGAAGTGTTTCATGAACAGGTAGCGTTGGGGTAGCTATTATTTTATCAAATTCTCTAAGAAGAGCTTCGTTTCTGCGTAGATTTGGAGGTAGGATGTTACTCAGAACTGGAAGCCAGTAACTAGGTGTGCAACTGATTGTCCCTGTAATCAGCCGCATGGTGTTGTTCAGCTGTCTGTCTACGAGATTTTTGTGGTGGCTGTTCAACCACACGGTGACACGGGTGCACAATACTCTGCCACACTGAATACCAGACCAAGGGCGGAGATCCGAAGTGTAGTTGCTTTTGCACCCCAAGAAGTACCACAAAGTTTTTGTATAATGTTGTTTCGTGTTCTGATTTTCCCAGAAACATTTTCTAGGTGTTTTCGAAATGAGAGTGTACGGTCTAGAGTAAAATATTTTGGATATTTGTTATTACGCAGAGTGGTGTTACCAAACTGGACGCTTATTTAAGTATTCCCCAGCTTGTTATTAAGATGGAAGGTAGCCACTTCTGTCTTATTTGCACTGGGTTGAAGTCTCCATTTTATAAAATAGGCATTCAAAAATGCGAGATCCTTTGTAAGCGTTTCTTGGGTTAAAATAATATAGAAGGATCTTTCTGGAATCCATTTTTGTGAGTAAATAGTCTACTGTATTTTTTAGTCATGTAATTAGCTAGTTAAGTGTTTTTTTATCGTATGTTTAGGGCAACGACCCAGCTACGTCGAAACACCGGTTCCCATTAGAACACCGAAGTTAAGCGACGTAAGGCGATACTAGTGGATGGACGGGTGACCGGTTCGAAACTCTGTATCGTGCTGTTGTCCAATAAAGGCAAAAGTGTAAAATCTATTGACACACACTGCCCATTCACGCCGGTTCGAGGCCGGATGAGATCGGATATCTCGTGAGTAAGAGTCGATTTAGACACTTGCCAAGTCGGTAGGCCATTGACCGTGATATGGCTGAGGACCGCGGTTCGGATTCCGCGTAAACAAAGTAGACCCCGTCCAAATTAGCCCTGGCAGCAAAAAGGAGACGTTAACTGAAATATTTACTTTACTTTACTTTTATCGTATGTTTAAATATAAAAACCAACAAAATCCGTAAAAATATAGTCAAAAAAAAACGGCGTCAGGGTTCGCTTGGAAATTAGGATCGTTGTTATTTTATATCTAAAATTATATGGCGAATGACATTGATCGTCGTTTACAGGCAACCTCGACTCAGTTTTTTTTTCGATTATACTGTATTTGTACATAAGATCTAAGATTATACATATGATTAATATGTTTCGTTAAAACTTTGTCAACTAAAATATATAATTAAAGGCAAATCCAAATGCAACTTAGTGGGTGTTAAAATCCCGATTTTACAGTATCTACAAAATAGTAATAGTACGGAATTTCCTTGCATTTATCTACTTATGTCTGTATGTCATCATCTTCAGCTTATTCAACCATTACCAATTATGGTGTAGCCTCCCTCACATATAGGGATAAAATCTTTGTAATTGGGCCCGTTGTTGTCTACTGTTGGTTATGCGGGCCCAAGTTATCACCGTTAATTTCCTATTCACCTATATTTCCCATATCAGGTTTAGTCTTCTTCTAGAGTTCTTAATTCTCCGTGGGTACCCATGCTGTAATTTTTGTGGTCCATCTGTCCATCCTTCTTACCAAGTATCCTGCCTATTGCCACTTGAGGGATTTGATTCTGTGGATGACATCTATTATCTCTGGGTCTTTTGTTGCATCCACTCTATTTTTTTTTTTTTCGTTCTTTCTTGGTTATTTCCTTATTCCCTTAACTGGAATTTCGTTATAATGTCCATTTTAAGTGTCCATGTTTTGCATGCATAGGTTTTTGATAGTACACATTCGTTGAATGTTTTCTTCTTTAGATTAAATGGCATTCTAGAATTGAATATGATTGAGTTTCTTTCATACTTGGACTTCATGCTAACTTAATTATTCTGTTGATTTCTGGTAGTAGAGATCCTGAGCTGTGTATTACTTGTTTCAAATATATATATTCTTCTACTATTTCCAGTGTTGTGTTATTTATTAGAATGTCTTTTCTGTCTACTTGTTAGTTGTACATTACTTTAGTTTTTGCTAAATTCATTTTGAGACCTTCTTTATTGCTAGCTGTTTTAAGTTTGTTAATTTGTGCTAGTAGTTCTACAAGATTGGCAAGTAAGACTATCTTATCAGCGAATCTTAGATGTTTAAGATATTTTCCATATATTTTAAATCCTTTGTCGTTTAGTCAACGGAAAATTTCTTCTAACGTTGCTGTAACAGCTTTGGGAATATCGCGTCTCCCTGTCGTACTCTTTTGCAAGGGAATTCTGGGGCTATTTCATATATCATTACTCTTTGTATATATTGGTTAGAGTTTCTATAAGGCCTGTCCATACCTTGTTTCGTTAGGGCTACTATTATTGCATTTGGGTATATCAAAAGCTTTCTCGAAGTCTATAAAAGCTATAGCTATAATGGAAGCTCGTTATTCTTTTGTTAGATTAATAGTTTCTTACTATGTATTTAGCTTTAAATAAAACTATACGATATTTAATACATAAAAATATAATTCATTTTTACTAACAAACACAGGTATAAAAATGTCAATATAAAAAAGACCTATCTATCTATAACTTTTCTATATAAAATAACAAAATATATACATATTACAGCTACACAAAATAGAACACACACTAGGATAATTATTAGTGATAATGCATCTTAACACCATTTATTAAAAATCATTTGTCACCATGATTTTTTTATATTTTTCCCTAACTTAAAATCTAGTACTTATACTGAGTATCTTTACAAAAATATAGTATTGGTAAAAAATATATAAACGTATAATTAAATCAATATAAAAAATATATTTACTATCTACATTTATGGAAATAGGTGAATTTTATTGGCAATTTTATGTTGGATTTTTCCAAAGGCTTTTGGGAAATAGTAGGAGAAGACTTTGTAATTTTCACAAACCACGTAATTTTTTCTAAATTTGATATGTGAAAATATTCCCCTAATTTTCTTAAGGCCTTTTTTTTAAAGCTTAATAAGGTCCACCACCATTACCATTACCATTACCGCTGGGTGGGCCATATTTTGAAGATGGTGGTCCAGCTGGTTGGCCGCTTGCTGGATATGGACCTTCGGCTTCCTTTTGCTGGAAGGATTAAATAATAAATTAATAAAACTTAATTATAACTAATTCAACGCTGATTATGTGTTATTCTGTGACAAAGTAAAAGAGTCTAAAAATATTTTTATAAACATGCATATTAGTTTTGTTTGGCATATTCCACATTTGAAGAATTGTATAATTTTAATTGAGGTTATTTTATGATATTTTTTTGTTTATTTTGTAATTGGTTTTATGCAAAGTGTATAGATCAAGAAAGACATTGTGCCAAAACTTTAATTACAATGAGAATATTGTGAATCTTAGAAAATTTATATGGGAAATGTCATCGGTCGTCATTTTCCAGCCAACTGGACGCCGTTTTTTTTTCGTTCATACTGTATATGCATAATATAATTATTATATGCATAAATACCGTATGATCGAAAAAAATGGCGTCCAGTTGGCTGGGAAATGACGATCGATGACATTTCCCATATAAATTTATATATAAAATGACAGCGATCTTCATTTCATAGCCATCGCTGACGCCGTTTTTTCTCGATCATACGGTATATGTTACTAGTAAACCAATCGATTATAAAATTCGTTTAGAGTTAAGTTTTTATTTTTGCATTTATTTACAAGTGAATTTATAAAAACATTAAGCAAAATAAAAAGTATTATTAATATCAATTAAACTTTTAGGCTGTATTCCGTTGTAAAGCCAGGCGAACCAGACCGGTAAACTACCGTAAAGAACGGTCCCTGAAAAACAACGGTTTGATACTGAACGGTTTGGTAAAATACTAGAAACGTCAAATGTTGACGTTTTCTAAATTTCAATACCACTATTATAAAATTTATCTTTTATGCATTTTTAATGTACCTATTCTCTGCTTTTACGTTTGCTTCTTCTTTTCAATGGAGTTTAATATTGAAAAGTACTTTATTAATAAACTGTTAAACTCGTTAGACAGCTCAAGTGAAGATTTGCAGGTCCAATATTAAAACAGATCAATAAAAAATAAACAAATCTAATCAATATTTATATTTTTATAGCTTACAAAAGATTCACGATTACTTGTCTTGTTTTTTATGTTTTCTTTAAATGTTCCTGACTTTGAGAAACAATGGCTGCATGATAAGTTTAAATGGTCCTAAAAAATCATTCTATTTAGTTAATTAAATGTATTTACCTTTACAGCCTATCTCCATTGATTTTGGATGTAAATACAAAATATTACAAATTTTAGAAACTAAATAAGAATTTCACTCGAACTTCCAATATTTGCTTGACTTCTGTCACATAAATGACATTGATTGACAAATAAAACCAGAAAAAAAACAGCCTTCTCCCGCTGGTTATGGTGACAGTTATAACCGAATTTTTCAGGAACCGTGTTCCGTGATAAGAAAACTTTCAGGAAACCGATAGAAACGGAACATAAAACCATAACCAAGGTAAGCAAAAGATAAACACCCTTAGTTACGAAATCGAGCGCGCGATTTTTGAATTCATTGTTGCCAATCATTGACATATTCGGCGCCGTGACTAATTGGAATTTAAATTTTGCGCTGGGGATTCAGGTGGTAGCTCTGCTGTAAAAAATGTCAAGTTGCTACATTTATTTATTTATTTGCTGACATTGTCATTCGTTTTGACACTTTAATTTTCTATTACGAGTTTTTGGTATAAATAGTGTTGTGATACCTTAAGCTTGAAAATGTTTACTAGCAGCCCTTACAGTCGAACATTGTTCTTTTTAAAACCTCTTTTTTGTGCGAAGTGTACAGGGTGGTCGAAATTGGTCTGTTTTAACAGAGAAAACCTATTTCCTGACAAGATAGAGCAAAGCCGACATAGATGTCATGGGCTCGATTTCTGAGACACGTTTAATGACATAAACCGCCTGTTGATATTTTTACTGCCAACTAAGATACGGGGTCTTTTTGAATTTTTTACCATTTGGAAACTTGTCCATAACTTTTGTATTTCGCGGAATAATAAAATTCTGTAAAAACGTTCTTAATGCACTTTTTTAAGCATAATCCATTGGCATAGCTAGTTTTTCTCTAGAGTTGCTCTTTTTGTCAAAAATAAAAAAAAATATAATTATTTAAATGGAAATCATAGTTGGCAACGATATGAAGGTATGGTTATTTATTTCTAAGAATGAGAGAAATATTAGGTTTTTTATCTTTATATCGAAGCGGGCCGTGATTTTGTGTTGATCTAGTTACCCAATTATTTTGTATCACAATTTAATATTCTATAGTATTATTTATTTGCATAATTAAAGACTTTTGAAAAGGTAAATCAACATTCTATATTAGTATTACTAATTACAATTTAAAACGCCATGGCAAAGGTTTGTTTACAACCTAACCTAACAGAACTATTAAATGGAGAATTTAGAGTGAACTGGATTGGAACAAGGGCCTCATATCTTAGCCTGCTAGGTCCTATGATTTAACTTCTTTCGACTTTTTTATGGAGGAAATTAGAAGTCCTAATATATAAAAACCATTTGGACGAGAGAAGAATTGGGTACAGAAGGCTACTAGGCAAGTTTTTGGACTTGTTGTACCAGTTCGCCTAATAAATCGATGTAACTCTCTTTAAAAGATGTTTATTGTGTATTTAACAAGCAGGTGCTCAGTTTGAACATCTTTAATGATTTTTTTTAAAAAACTACAGGGTTGTTCACCACATACGACACGGAGTATTGTAGCTAAACGATTAGATTTTTACAAATTGTAAGTTTTGGGTTCGTTGAAGGACTATTAGAGCTACAATTTAAAAATATTTTTACAAGATACAGAGTGTCCCAAATAAGTAAAAAATATTATACTTGTATTTTTTTAAATGGAACACCCTGTATATTATTCTATTTTTGGATTCTACGATTGAAATAAAGGTAAATTTGATTAAGGTTTATCACTCTTAAACCTTACCGTTTTTGAAATATTTTCAATTTTATGAAATTGCAGTAAAAATTTTAAGGCTTCATTTCTCCAAAGGTATCAAAGTTTTTAATACTAAATATTTACTGAAGATTATTTATTAATCATATATTGTTTTGCAATAATAAAAATTTTACAACCTTATACAGAGTGTCCAAAAATTTATATTAAATAATTACTAGCTTTAAACAGCAATAACTTGTTTAATTTAAATGGAATACTATATATATTTTTCGTGAATCAGATGCACAATGTAACTGTCTATCAAATTGTATTATACTATTTTTTACCCATCTCTTCAAGTGTTCGTAGAAAATGCATTTTCTTTTAATTTAGACCTCATTTATCACTATACATGGAATATTGACATTTCAGATTTTTTTAAAGCAACATATATGTACAAAATGTATTGCAAGCCCATTGGTATACAAAAAAAAACTATTTAAATCTTTGTAAAAGAGTATACCTATTAAATTAATGAAATTTATTAATTCATTAATTAAATATACCTACCACCATTATTTCCGACCAAAAATTAGTCAATTACATACTTTTAAATTGTTTTAATTAATAAAGTATTCTAAATAAATGTGAATTTGGCTCAGAAATCAATATAATAATAAGTTATGAAAATGAACGTCTCTGTTTTTATAACAAAGCATTCGTAAAAAAATGTGTTACTTTTTACCAGACTGTCTAATACACACACAAAATTCAGTTTTTTACTATTTGGAGTATTTATTATTAATCAATGTAGACAGTCAATTAATGTAGTTTGAATACTGGGATCATATTAATTGGTCCTTTTTAACAAACAATATTTAAACAGTTTTTTTTTTATTTTTTAATGAAATAAGAGAACTATATCGACAATAGTAGTATCTGTACTCTTTGAAAATTTGTTACATCTTTAAAAATAATCTAAAATGGCAATATTTCATAGGTATACTGATAAGTGAGGTCTAAATTATAAGAAAATGCATTTTCTACGAAAACTTGAAGAAATGGGTAAAAAATGGTATAATACAATTTGATAGACAATTACATTGTGCATCTGATTCACGTAAAATATATGGGGTGTTCTATTTAAATTAAACAAGTTATTGCCGTTTAAAGCTAGTAATTAATTAATATAAATTTTTGGACACTCTGTATAAGGTAGTAAAATTTTTATTATTGCAACACAATATCTGATCAATATATAATCTCCAGTAAATATTTAGTATTAAAAACTTTGATACTCTTGGAGAAATGAAGCCTTAAAATTTTTACTGCAATTTCATAAAATTGAAAATATTTCAAAAACGGTAAGGTTTAAGTGTGAGAAACCTTAATCAAATTTACCTTTATTTCAATCGTAGAATCTAAAAATCGAATAATATACAGGGTGTTCCATTTAAAAAACTACAACTATAATATTTTTAACTTATTTGGGACACTCTGTATCTTGTAAAAATATTTTTAAATTGTACCTCTAATAGTCCTTCAAGGAACCCAGAACTTACAATTTGTAAAAATCTAATCGTTTAGCTACAATACTCCGTGTCGTATGTGGTGAACAACCCTGTATATTAGTCACTCCTCCATTATAGTCCTATTTTTCAATTTACCTTTTCAAAAGTCTTTAATTATGTAGATAAATAATAATATACTTACAATATAAAATTGTAAAAAAATAATTAGGCAAATAGGTCAACACAAAATCAAGACCCGGCCGCTTCGATATAAAGACAAAAAACACTATTATTTCTCTCATTATACCCATAACTTTACATCGTTGGAAAGGATTAAACGCCAGCATTTTTTTAAGTTCATATCCAACTATGATTTTCATTTAAAAAATTATATTTTTTATTATTTCTAAAAAAAGAGCAAGCATAGAAAAAAAACTGACTACGCCACTGGATTGTTCTTAAAAAAGTGCCTTAAGAACGTTTTACAGAATTTTATTATTCCGCGAAATAAAAAAGTTATGGGCAATTTTCAAAATGGTAAAAAAATCAAAAAGACCCCGTCTCTCAGTTGGCAGCGAAAATATCAACAGGTGGTTTATGCCATTAAACGTGTCTCAGAAATCGAGTCCATTACATCTATGTAGGTTTTGCTCTATTTATCTAGGAAATAGGTTTTATTTGTTAAAACAGACCAATTTCGACCACCCTGTACAAGATGGCTTAATAGCTGTAAAAAACTCATCGAAACTTTATTAGAATATTTTGAACGGGAAAGCGGTAGTATTGGCCCTTTATGTCCCTTAAGAGCTGTTAAGAAGGTGAGTTTTGTTGATATAAATAATTATTGTTTATATATTTATAATTAATTTATTTTAGTTTCCTCAAATATTTTAATTAAAAATATATATATAAAGTGGGCAACGCTGTGCCGGTCAAGCTTAGTCAAGTGACTAAAAGTTTGTTTAGTATGAACTGTATGTATTTTCTTCAAAATTTATATGACTGTGAATTTTGAGTAGACAATATTTTCCCATAAAGTAACATCAACAGTTAAATCTCTTGACAGTTATAAACTTAATGCAATCTATAAAACAATCAAAATTTTTCGATTTGATGATTTTAACACATTTTATACCCTTTTCTTCATTTAAAATGAGTATAACTAGTTCAGACAACTTACCGTTTTGTATCGGATGAAGTAAACTTCTGGTTTGCTTGGTTGAGTTGGAGCAGGCGTAGGAATAGTAATTTCTGGTGCTTCTTCTGGTTTCTTAACCAACACGTACACCAAAGTCTTTTCTTCGTTTTGAGGTTGAACTGGAATGACTGGTGCAGTTGGAGTTGGTGGAGTTGGAGCCTAAAAACCAAACATGAGTTGAATTTAATAAAATAACAAGTGGTTTGTTTGGAACAGAAACAAACTAGGACAGAAAATAGAACCAGAAATATAATCCATTTAATTCAAAAATAAAAAATATTTTTTAAATCTTCACTTAGGTAAGTTAGATTTAGATTACGAATTAGATTTTACGTTAAAGTCATTAAAATTAACGTCATTTCAGTAGCGTACACGATGCATCATCCTTGTGTAATTACAAGAAAACCATGATTTTATAAAAAAACATCTACGCTTTTCACATGCACTTATTTAAATAACAAAGGCATTATTCAAATTAATTATTATAATCTGTTTGTTGAAGTTTTTTATCCGCTGAATATACTGTGAGATTAACTAATTTTCTTTTTGCATAATTAGAGCATAAAAACTACAACATCTTTGTTATGTAATGTTAAGTAAAGAAGAATAGAAATTAACCCGTTCATTTTTGATCAATTTTTCCATAGGTTTATTTTTCTTTCTATGATATTGGGTACGGTATTTGATGTATTAAAACTGTCCCTTCTTATTAAAATCTTCTTCATTAAGTTGTCTGCCATTAATTGTTAAGAACCTATAATATAAATTTATGGTATTGTTAGAATCAAATTGTAGAAAAAATATATTATTAAAAATCGTTATTGGAAAAAATAATTATTTTTATCACATTTTAAAAATCCAGTAAATAATAAGCTTGGTAATATTTATTTCGGTAGTATAATACAGAGTGTCTCAGAAATAAGTGCAGATATTTTAAGGGGTAGTAGAACTGGTCAAACAGAAACATCTTTCCTCTTTATCATTTTTAAAATAAATAACCGAGTTATTTAACTTTAAAAATTAAAAAAAAAATAATGGCGACATTTTGAGAACCGCTGGCGATGGCCGGCTATTAAGGGGTTTTCACGAGGTTTTTCAGCGTATTTGACGCCTCAAGTGATTAAACAAGTGGCACTAAAAAGTTTTTTAAATTTTCCCGGAAAATGTCAAGAAAAATATAAAATTTTCAACAATTTTTTTTTGCAAAAAAACTAATAGGCGTTTTTCTGGGGCCGAAATATACTACCAGTTAAAGTATTTGCACTTATTTCTGGGACACCCTGTATATATGTTGATTTAATTTAATAAGTCTATCAAAGATTATCTATATATAAACAAAAACATCTTCGGAAGAATTTTTAGAAAGCAATTTTTACGACTAACAAAGCCAAATAGATGCACAAAAATTAAAATCCATATATACAAAACACTTATTCGGTTTAATGATTATATGTAAAATATGCTCAAATTATTAAATTGTACTTGAATTATTGTATTTACGCTATATAAAGTAACCAAAAATGTATGTCAACAGAAATATTCTAAATTCTAACTGAACGTGTGTGTCTTCATTCCATGATTTTATGTGACAGTTCTGTAGCCTTCTCCCTTGACAGTGATTCTTCTGTATTAATCATTGTTTGCTTTTAAAAAATGCCAGTGAAAAGTTAAACAGATGGGGTTCTTGTTACGATGGTACTCTTGACCATCCACATGAAGATATCGATGTTCTGTGTTCTCTCTGGCATTTTAAAACACTATTTTTGCAAAAGATGTGCTTAGCAATTTAAAGATTATCGTTATAATGATGTTCCTAATAGCATTTTTAACATCAATGGTGTATATTGTTCTTAATGCCATCTTCCACCACTTTGTCAAGGCATGGATGGCTTTCTAAAATAGCGTTAAAAACTGAAGTTAAGAAGGTAGTTGGTAAAATATAAGATAAAGTAGTAAAATAAGAAAATATTGGTAAAATGGTGCTCTTGGTGGTGCTCTCCCACTCAAATCGGAAGGCATATATATGGCTTCTTTTATACCTTTTGGCATTTTAACTCATATTTTAGTTAAATAAATTAACAAACTAAAGAGATATGTTTCATCATCTACTTTAACCTTTATTTTTGACGAAGAAGTCGTGAAAGAGTTAAGAACTTCGTTGAGTTTTCAACCCTACTGTTCTCCTTCTTTTCTATGGCTATGGTCAAACCTTGGGTCAAACGTATCCGCGATTTTCTCTTTTTCTGACCATTATTATCGTATTTTGTTAATAAAATTGTTTCAAGATGTCATCTGATGTATGCACTTGGTACATTTTGTGGAGCATGTCGCTCAACACGTTCCCTAGGTCCCTAGTAAGTGGCCTGCTTTAAACAATCGATTGATGAGTATTATTACACTGTATTTGATTAAATTTTTAGAGGTGGCCTGAACCACTGGGACCTTTTCAGATCTTTTGTGGTCCTCTTCTGATCCTTAGGTTACACTATTCAGTCATATCCTTTTCAAAATATTTAGCAACTTGGAGACTCCATATAGGTATCTGTGAGTGGTCTATCATTGCATATTACAGAGAACCGCACATTTGCCAGGCTGTCGACACCAAATGTGTTTTGTCGTTTCTTCTTCAGATTGGCAGAACCTGGACATGGCTTCGTCCATCAATACCATTAGCTCTAGATGTCTATTCAGCTTACAACGCCCTGTTAGCAGACCCACTACAGCTTTGACTGTCTTTCTGTCTTTGTTTATCAGCTGAATTTTATAGTAGCCGTGAATTTTAGCGAATGTTCTACTCAGAACTTCTTGGCCTGTCTCTGCTCTGATGAATTTCTCCACCATTTTTACACCACCTGGTATTTTAATCTTAACAAATTGAAAATATTTTTATATTTAAAAAACAATTATTAAGTACTGAAAAAATATATTGTTAACAAAACATACCTTGATGAAGATGATTTTATAGTGTTTCTGGGCTGGTGCTACTTCGATAGGTTTCCTCGGTTTGGGCTGCTCTTTCTCTGGAGGGGGCACATGGACGTAGACATGTTTCTGGACAATTCCTGGAGCTGGAGCCCCGTATTCGGTGGGAGGTGCAGGGGGGCCATAATTCGAAGAGGGAGGAGCGCCGTAGCTGTCACTTGGACCGCTGGGGGCCGACGGGTAATTGTAGCCCTGAGGATGGGCCCAGGCTGCCACCAGCAACGTTGCTAATACCTAAAAAATGTTAAAAATTATTAGGAGAAGGAAAATTTTATCTCATGCGTCATTTTATAAATATAATATGAGAATTATCTCTTCTTTGGCGGTTATTATTTTATAAAAGATTTCTAGAAATTATAAGCCATATTATATTAGATTGAAACGCAGAATGAATGAATCTAAGACTATATTTTAAATTAATTTTACGTTTGACAAATTCTAGGCCCAAATATACAGGGTGAGTTTTAAATAGGTGCAAATATTTTTAGGGTTAGTATATATTTCGACCCCTAGAAAGAGGATTACGATGTTTTATTCGCGGAAAATAATTTGAGAAAATTTGGAATTCTTTGAAAAAAATTATTATTATTTTTTGGTTATTTTTTAGTTTTTAGTTATAAAAAACAATTTCTTTATAATATGGCAACATAGGTAGTAGATTAGATTAACAAGAAAGAAAACCTTGAAAAAATCCAGTGGCTCTCAAAATTTTAGCATAAAATGATTTTTTGCAAATTTTCAGAGTAAAATAACTCAGTTATTTTGGATTTATTTGAAAAACGGTAAAGACAAAATATGTTTCTTTTATCGAGATCTGCCAGCCTTGAAAATATTTGCACTTATTTAAGACTCACCCTGTATAGTGAATTAAAACAGATTTGAAATTCACTATACAGGGTGAGTCTTACATAAGTCTTAAAAAAAGAAACATAATATTATCTCTTTACCGTTTTTCAAATAAGTCTAAAATAACCGAGTTATTTAAGTTTGAAGATGAAAAATTAAAAAAGAAATGAAAAAAAAATGATCCATTTTTAAAAAGAATTGAGAGTCGCCGGATTTTTTCTGTATTTGCATCCATTTTAGTGCCGTAACCATAGAGTAAAGCCATAACCATGGTAATATCAGAGATTAAGAAATTATACGGTGGGAAAATTTGCGGTAAAATAGTAGTTCTGAATAGTTTTCTAAAATATACAGGAAAATTTAAAAGAAAATGCACGATTTTCGACATTTTTTTGCAAAAAAATCCATATACGTGTTTCTAGGATCGAAATATACGACCCCTAAAAATATTTGTCTTGGTTTTTGCACGTATTTCCCGTTTTTTAGAAGGGTTTTCTACAAAGGTCTTCCTATTACCTGTCACGCAAAACTGACAGGCAAAACAATAAGTGTAAACCAGTGTAAACAGGTCTTTATGCATGTCTATTAGAATTATGTGGGTATACCAACCCATCATAAAAACAAACAAGGCCGCAGAAGCGAAAACAGTACTGTCGAAACTAGACGATTTCTTAGCACAACGGCCTTGCTCGTTAATAATTCAAATTAACCTAGTGGTACCTTTTCTAGTTACGAGAGGACATAATTGTTATTCAATAGCGATGGGGCGATTGGGAAACAAGCGGCGGTACCTCTTTCTAATGGTACTTCAATAGTTTTATTTGGGTTAGCGAACTATTAGTCGATCAGGGCTTTGTTACCCATCCAACTGACTCGTTTTAATATCTGGTACACGACATGTTTTTAGATAACACAGAATTCACTACCAGGTGTTAACAAGGATGATCATCATTTTCGAAAAGTTACATTTTCGATTTAATTCCTGAGATTCATACTGTATTCTTTTTTTTACAAAAATACTAAGAAAAAAGGATCTTTCTCAAACAGTCAGGTAAGAAGGATTAAAAAGTAACGTATACACTGGAAGTTTAACTTGCTTGAAATTTTGAGGGTAAAAGTTACTATAAGTGCGACATATTTTAATGCTAAAAAGTGTCGACATATTCACCAGGGACGTGCATATGGGATGGGTTATCACTAGAATATGTTTCTAAAAAAATATGTGTGCCACCGACTTTTTTCCTTCTTATTAGCAAAATTGTTTAGACCGTTAAATGCAGATTAGAAGTTCCTTTGAGATCTTAAGGCCTCTTGAGATTTTGTCGATTTCGGTCTCCTTGATGAGATAAACGCATTTAATTTAATTTGCCTTAATCCAATTCTAATAGCAACTTTTAAAGAACTTTAATGTCATTAAATTGGCAAAATGTTAAATAAGTACTCATTGACTCTTCATTAAAAAATATGAAAAAAAGTTCCTTTAAATATGGGTGCGGAAATGCTTCTAAATTTTTATTAAAAAAATAAGCTTTTTGTAAATTATCTTTAATGCCATTATTTTTGGGGGAATTTGCTGCACGTAGTACTGTACATCAGTCTTATAAATTTTAATAAAATGTAGTAATAAATTACATTAAATAAATAATTTATTAAATTTATTTTAAGTTTAATTTTATTAATTGTGAAACGGACAAAATATCAAGATACAACTACAGATAACACATTATGTTATCTGTGATACAACTTTTTAATTGGTATTAAATGGCCTACACAATTTTGCTAATAAGAGGAGAATTTGCTAAAAAGTCAGTGGCACACATGTTTTTTTTTAATGTTTTTTTTTAGAAAAATATTTAAGTGATAACCCATATGCACGTTTCTGGTGAATTTGTCGACACTTTTTAGCATTAAAATATGTAGCACTTATAGTAATTGTTATCCTTAAATTTCATTCGAATTGCTAACAGCACTTAGAAGAAAATTATAATAAATTGAAAAAAATAAGATTTTAACCTGTCCAATGTTGATGTCCAGACCAATGTTGAAATGAAAAATATATCTTATTTTTACGTAAGGAATGAGAGATGGCACATTTTTTTTGAAACATCCTGTATGTAGAAGTGGCTTTAAAGTACGTATGTAGTAGTGTAAAGTATACGCAGCCAATTTTTTTTAATAACGTACTAATACCCTTTTCTGTAATAACAAAATTTCAAGCAAAACATAGAAACGGAATACAGCCTTTAATGTCCTTTTAATAAGTTTCATTAGAGACAAATACATCAATATAGTTAACCATAACATTTTGAAACCAATAATTTTCTTTGTCCTAATTAACATATGAGATTTAAATTACAGTAACAATAGAAATCAAGTTTATGTATTTTTACGTAACCGAATGAATCCTTTTAACACTTTGCGCACCAAAATAGTGAAAGTAAGAGTCATTACAAATCCTTTAATTGCATCTGATGTCCTATTTGCTTTGAATACCTAGTAAAGCTACATTACAAAAATGTGCTGTTAAAAAGGTTAATTTATTTTTATTACGTGATTAGGAAAGCTGAGGAAGTCTCGCGTAAAACAAATATTCTTCTTCTTCTCTGGATTTGGGCACTTGCTAGTAACATCATTTCAGTCAGCACTTTAAAGCATTGGAAAAATAGATTTGATCATCTAATGTTTTAGTGTCTTGTCCTGGCCAGTTAGAAAATGCTCAAATCGTATTTTTAATCGTATCTCAATTTTTTCAAATGGAACGAGGGTGGCTCATTAGCATATTTGGAAAAAGCATTTTTTACGAATAATTTGATACCATACACCTGATATTTCAAATCAAATTTTCGTTAGGAACCGCAAGATATAATTTCAAATAAACCATATGCGAAAATGTCAAAAGTTGACATATGATATGTCATTCTATTCAGAGTGACATTTTCTATCGAATAAAGTAAGAAAATATCGGGGGTGCCATTTAAAAATCAAAAGTTGTAGTCATTTCCGGTGAAACCGGATGCGCCACTTTTGAGACGGACCCGGTATACCACCCCTGAAAATATTTGCACTTATTTAAGACTCACTCTGTATAGAAAAACACCCGATGTTGTCCATTTACATTAATTAACAAAACTAGACAAATTTTAAATATGTTTGTGATGTTTGTCTCAATTAGGTAAACCTAAATAAATTTGATATCATTTTCAAAACATATCTATTCCAGTGACGAGTATATAAAGTCATCCAACGAGTCAGGGAAATTTTTGAGAGTCCACATCCAAAAAATTATAGAAATACAATAATTTATCTCTGAATTGAAATGACAGACAACTGACACAGTCAGTAAACCTCTCGATGGATAGGCTTTAGTTAAGGAAGTTACGCACTGAATACTCGACAAGAATCATTAACATTTCTTGATAATATTGCAACATAGGTGTAGTAGATTAAATTTACAAGAAAGAAAACATCAAAAAGATCCAGCGATTCTCAAAATTTAAGCAAAAAAATATCTTGTTTTGAAATTTTCAAAGGGCAATTCCATGTACGACGTTAATTTTCTTATATATTTTAAGTGATTAAATTACTGAAAAAACTCTCATCATACGCCTCATAAAGAATCAAATTTCTTAAAAAAATATCTTATATTATCTAAGTTAGCCAGATTTCGCGAAAAAAATTAGGGATAAATTATTAGAATTAGTTTGCAAAAAATCTTTAATAATTGCATTTTATATGAAGAGTTGCCATGGAAAAACAAAAGGACGCTAGCTCTGGGCCTGGTGCGCGTCATTTACTGTTGTTGTCAAGCGTTTGTGTACTGGTGTATTTTTGTGCCAAATATAAGTAAAAATGACTTTAATTTAATTACAAATATAGCTCAACTTTTTGTCCCGTGAGTAATCAAAAAAGAAAAGTTTTTAAATTTTTGTCGTTATTTCTATAGAAACCCCGTATAAAGGGAATCAAACTTATAGTATATTGGCTAACATGTATTGTCAATATAACTTAGTTTTTTAAGATTCTTGGAAATATATTTTTTTAAATTTGTTTAAACTGTCCCATGAGTAATCAGTTAAAAGTTACAGCATAACATTTTGCTGTAAACATGCTTTTTTAAAGAAATGCGTTTATTATTTTACCAAAAATGTGAAAAAACATTATTTTACTAACATTACAAGACTTATCGCCAGTTTTATTACTTATTACTTAATATCGTCTTTTTATTTAAATAATTGTTGAAAATATCAATACATTGACAGTCATAGGTTCTTTTTATTTAAGGATGGCAAAAATTAAGAATCATGAGAGGCAGACACGAGTTAGGAGTCACGTTAAAAAGTATTGAGACAAAATTAATGCGGACAATAATTTAAGGCAAGCGTATCTTA